GTACACCGTGTACGTTAGGCCCATATTGGAGTATGCGGCACCAGTTTGGAACCCACACCTAGCAAAGCACGTAAAGAAACTAGAGAAAGTGCAAAGGTTTGCAACAAGACTAGTCCCAGAGCTAAGAGGTATGTCCTACGAGGAGAGGTTAAGGGAAATCAACCTGACGACACTGGAGGACAGGAGAGATAGGGGGGACATGATAACGACATACAAAATACTGAGAGGAATTGACAAGGTGGACAAAGACAGGATGTTCCAGAGATTGGACACAGAAACAAGGGGACACAGTTGGAAGCTGAAAACACAGATGAATCACAGGGATGTTAGGAAGTATATCTTCAGCCACAGAGTAGTCAGTAAGTGGAATAGTTTGGGAAGCGATGTAGTGGAGGCAGGATCCATACATAGCTTTAAGCAGAGGTATGATAAAGCTCACGGCTCAGGGAGAGTGACCTAGTAGCGATCAGTGAAGAGGCGGGGCCAGGAGCTCGGACTCGACCCCCGCAACCTCAACTAGGTGAGTACAGTATGAAAATAACATAGCGTCGAAAATCAAGAATGACCCGAAACTGTTGTATAGCCACATCAGGTGGAAGACAAGAGTCAAAGACCAGGTGATCAGACTGAGGACAGAAGGTGGGGAACTCACAAGAAATGATCAGGAGGTATGTGAGGAGCTAAACAGGACATTTAAGGAAGTTTTTACAGTAGAGACAGGAAGGGCTGTGGGAAGACAGCACAGAAGGGAACATCAAGAGGGAATATACCAACAAGTGTTGGATGTCATACGAACAAACGAGGAGGAGGTGCAGAAGCTAAGTGACCTTGATACCTCAAAGGCGATGGGACCGGACATCTCCCCGTAGGTCCTTAGAGAAGGAGCAGAGATGCTGTGTGTGCCCCTAACCACAATCTTCAACACATCCCTTGAAACTGGGCAACTACCTGAGAAATGGAAGACAGCAAATGTAGTCCCCATATTTAAGAAAGGAAACAGAAATGAGGCACTAAACTACAGACCTGTGTCTCTGACATGTATTGTGTGCAAAGTCATGGAGAAGATTATCAGGAGGAGAGTGGTGGAACACCTGGAACGGAACAAGATTATAAATGAAAACCAGCATGGGTTCATGGAAGGCAAATCCTGTGTCACAAACCTTCTGGAGTTTTATGACAAGGTAACAGAAGTAAGACACGAGAGAGAGGGGTGGGTTGATTGCATTTTCCTAGACTGCAGGAAGGCCTTTGACACACTCCCCACAAGAGATTAGTGCAGAAGCTGGAGGATCAGGCGCATATAACAGGGAGGGCACTGCAAAGGATCAGGGAATACCTGACAGGGAGGCAACAACGAATCTTGGTACGCGAAGAGGTATCACAGTGGGCGCCTGTGACGAGCGGGGTCCCACAGGGGTCAGTTCTAGGACCAGTGCTATTTTTGATATATACGAACGACATGATGGAAGGAATAGACTCTGAAGTGTCCCTATTCGCAGATGATGTGAAGCTGATGAGAAGAATTAAATCGGATGAGGATGAGACAGCACTGCAAAGAGACCTGGACAGGCTGGACATGTGGTCCAGAAACTGGCTTCTCGAATTCAACCCTGCCAAATGCAAAGTCATGAAGATTGGGGAGGGGCAAAGAAGACCACAGACAGAGTATAGGCTAGGTGAGCAAAGACTACAGACCTCACTCAGGGAGAAAGACCTTGGGGTGACCATAACACCGAGCACGTCACCGGAGGCACACATCAACCAAGTAACTGCTGCAGCATACGGGCGCCTGGCAAACCTGAGAATTGCTTTCCGATACCTTAATAAGGAATCGTTCAAAACACTGTACACTGTGTATGTTAGGCCCATACTGGAGTATGCACCACCAGCCTGGAACCCACACCTGGTCAAGCACGTCAAGAAGTTAGAGAAAGTACAAAGGTTTGCAACAAGGCTAGTCCCAGAGCTCAGGGGAATGTCGTACGAGGAAAGGTTGAGCGAAATCGGACTGACGACACTGGAGGACAGAAGGGTCAGGGGAGACATGATAACGACATACAAGATACTGCGGGGAATAGACAAGGTGGACAGAGATAGGATGTTCCAAAGAGGGGACACAAAAACAAGGGGTCACAATTGGAAACTGAAGACTCAGACGAGTCACAGAGACGTTAGGAAGTGTTTCTTCAGTCATAGAGTCGTCAGGAAGTGGAATAGCCTAGCAAGTGAAGTAGTGGAGGCAGGAACCATACATAGTTTTAAGAAGAGGTATGACAGCTCAGGAAGCAGAGAGGGAGAGGACCTAGTAGCGATCAGTGAAGAGGCGGGGCCAGGAGCCGAATCTCGACCTTTGCAACCACAATTAGGTAAGTACACTCACACACACACACACACACACACACACACACACACACACACACATACTTTTGAAAGAGTTCTCACACAAACAAAACTAAAATGTGTAGAATGTGTAGAATTTTTAACACATACTTCCTCTCAGTTTTTACTCAGGAAGATACTAGCGATATTCCAGAAATAATAAATTATGTAGAACAGGATGATGATAAACTATGCACGATTAGGGTCACAAGTGACATGGTCCTTAGGCAAATTGATAAATTATAACCTAACAAATCCCCAGGCCCTGATGAACTGTATGCAAGGGTTCTAAAGGAATGTAAAGAGGAGCTTAGTAAACCTCTGACTAATCTTTTCAATATATCGCTACAAACTGGCATGGTGCCAGATAAGTGGAAAATAGCAAATGTGATACCTATTTTCAAAGCAGGTGACAGGTCCTTGGCTTCGAACAATAGACCAATAAGCCTAACCTCCATAGTGGGAAAATTTATGGAATCAATAATTGCCGAGGCAGTTCGTAGCCATCTTGAAAAGCACAAACTAATCAATGAATCTCAGCATGGTTTTACAAAGGAGCGTTCCTGCCTTATGAATTTATTAATTTTTTTCACTAAGGTATATGAGGAGGTAGATCATGGTAATGAATATGATAGTGTGTATATAGACTTCAGTAAGGCTTTTGACAGGGCCCCACACCAGAGACTATTGAGGAAAATTAAGGCACATGCAATAGGAGGAGAAATATTTTCCAAGATAGAGGCATGGTTGACAAATAGGCAGCAGAGAGTTTGCTTGAATGGGGAGAAATCAGAGTAGGGAAGCGTCACGGGCGGTGTTCCACAGGGATCAGTGTTGGCCCCCTGTTGTTCACAATCTACATAAACGACATTGATGAGGGCATAAAGAGCGACATAAGCAAGTTTGCCGATGACACCAAAATAGGCCGTCGAATTCATTCTAATGAGGACACTAGAGCACTCCAGGAAGATTTGAATAGACTGATGCAGTGGTCGGAGAAGTGGCTGATGCAGTTTAATATAGACAAATGCAAAGTTCTAAATGTTGGACAGGAAAATAACCATGCCACATATAAGCTAAATAATGTCGATCTTAATATTACGGATTGCGAAAAAGATTTAGGAGTTCTGGTTAGCAGTAATCTGAAACCAAGACAACAGTGCATAAGTGTTCGCAATAAAGCTAACAGAATCATTGGCTTCATATCAAGAAGCATAAATATTAGGAGTCCTCAGGTTGTTCTTCAACTCTATATATGTTTGGTTAGACCTCATTTAGATTATGCTGCACAGTTTTGTTCACCGTATTACACAATGGATATAAATGATCTGGAAAACATACAAAGGAGGATGACAAAGTTGATCTCATGTATCAGAAATCTTCCCTATGAGGATAAACTGAGGACCTTGCATCTGCACTCTCTAGAAAGGCGTAGAATTAGGGGGGATAAGATTGAGGTGTATAAATGGAAGACAGGAATAAATAAAGGGAATGTAAATAACGTGCTGAAAATATCTAGCGTAGACAGGACTCGTAGCAATGGTTTTAAGTTGGAATATTTCAAATTCAGGAAAGCATTGGTTTGGTAATAGAGTTGTGGATGAGTGGAACAAATTCCCAAGTACAGTTATTGAGGCTAAAACGTTGTGTAGTTTTAAAAATAGGTTAGATAAATACATGAGTGGGTGTGGGTGTGTGTGAGTTGGACCTGATTAGCTTGTGCTACTAGGTCAGTTGCCGTGTTCCTTCCTTAAGTGAATGTGACCTGACCTGACTAGGTTGGGGCATTGGCTTATGCCTGTAGGAGACTTGGACCTTCCTCGTATGGGTCAGTAGGCCTGATGCAGTGTTCCTTCTTTCTTATGTTCTTATGTTCTTATGTATAAGAAATGTAAGATAGAGCAAGCAAGAGTGCAAGAAAGGGAAGTATAACAAGGAGAGACATGCGCATGATTTGCCAAATTTAAATGTAACTTTAAATTTATTGAAGACAGCAATGATTGAGGATTATGAGTGGGAGCAATAAACTTTCTGTTGAAGGAACACCTTGCAAGTATTTCCAGTGATCATTCTGTTAGTCCTTCCTTGGAACGCTGAGTAACTGTTTCCAGGAACACTGAACAATTGTTATCAGTTATATCTGGGTGACTGAGTCCATTAGTGTTCATTTTTATCCATTGATAAATCTGTGCTTCTAAAGAACATTCTTCAAAATTTTCCAGTGGTCAATGAGTAACTGATTCCTGGAAACGCTGTGTAAAAGCTTCCAGGGAACACTAAGTGAAGTTATGGACCACTGTATTTGCTGTAAGTGGACACAGGATAACACTTTTCAGGGATCTCTGTGTAAGTACATCATGTGATTGCGGTGTAAGTGCATGAAATACGCTAAGTGCTTGCAATGATCAATGGATGCAGTAAATATTCAATCGTAAAGCTCCAGTTCGTATAGTAACTTGGAAAATTACTCACAAAGTAAGGAACAACTGAAGGTGGAAGGAATTATTCACGATAGGGAAGTAACTACGAGGAATTCATTAAGAAGATCAAACATTTCATAAAGAGACACTGCCAGTAACTTACAATCGAAGGAGTAACTAAACACGGAGAAGACATCTTACCAGGAATGGGTCAGCCTCGTTCACATCGTTGTTGTCCAGAAGCTCGTCTCGGTTGCTGGTCATCAACTGGCTGCTCTCAGCCTTAACCTCCAGCCCTAATATACAAAACATCGCATTAGAAACACAATACACAACACTAACTCAACATGACTATACAAACACACTGCCTCCTAACATTATCTACACTTTGCCACAGCTGCAATGTTCACAAGTCACTACAACAGTAATACTATACACACAAACAACCTACGTACCATTATGCACTCAACACAACCTTACCAACATTAAATGCTCTGCTGAAATGACAGGATCAAGCACTCTGGCAAGATGCACTATCTAAGTACTTATCTTAAAACTTCTTATGTAATTTTGTGTGTATGTGTACTTACCAGTTTGCCCAGTTGTTTTTGCAGGGGTCGATTCACAGCTCCTGGCCCCGTCTCTTGACTGGTCACTAGTAGGTTCTCTGTCTCCCTGCTCCATGAGCCTTATCGTATCTCTCCTTAAAGCTATGTAAAAATCTACCTCCACTACATCACTCTCCAGATTGTTCCATTTCCTGACAACTCTATGGCTAAAGAAATACTTTCTAACATTCTTGTGACTCATCTGAGTCTTCAACTTCCAGTTTTCACCCCTTCTTTGTGTGTCCCATCTCTGAAACATAATGTCCATATCTACCTTGCCAATTCCTCTCAGTATTTTATGTCATTTTTATATTTATCCTCTTTCTCCTGTCCTCCAGTGTCATCAGGTCGATTTCCCTTAACCTCTCCTCTTAGGACACACCCCTTAGCTCCAGGACTAGTCTTCTTGCAAACATTTGCACTCTCTCTAATTTCTTGACGAGCTTCACCAGGTGTGGGTTCCATACTGGTGCTGCATACTCCAATTTGGGCCTGACATACGCGGTATACAGAATTTTGAATGAGTCCTTGCTGAGGTGTCGAACCGCTATTCATAAGTTTTCGAGGCGCCAATATGCTGTAGCAGTTATTTTATTGATGTGTACCTCAGGAGATGTGCCCGATATTATCATCACTTCAAGATCCCCTTTTCCTTGAGTGAGGTCTGCAGTCTTAGGCCCTCTAGCCTGTACTCTGTCTGCAGTCTTCTTTGACCTTCCCCCTAATCTTCATGACTTTCTACTTGATAGCGTTAGACTAGGCTTGCAGCCTGTCCAGATCCGCATTAGCTTCACGTCGTCTGTAAACGGAGGCACCTGTGAATCTATCCTTTCTGTCAAGTCATTCACACATGCCAGAAAGAGCAACAGCCCTAGGACTGACCCTTGTGAAGCCTCACTTGTCACAGGCGCCCACTCTGACACCTCGTCACTTACCATCACTCGTTGTTTCCTTAGTTACATGTATTTTCTGATCAATTGCTCAACCAGTCTCTTCCTGATAAGCTTCTCCGTGACTTTGTACACTGTACATGTCAGTGACACTGGTCTGTAGTTTAATGCTAACTGCCTGTCTTCATTCTTAAAAATAGGGACTACGTTTGCTGTCTTCTACACCTCATGTAGTAGCCCTGTTTCGATATATGTGTTAAAGATAGTTGTTAGTCGTACACACAGCTCCTCTGCTCCCTCTCTCAGGACCCATGGAGAGATGTCCAGTCCCACTACCTTTGTATCTAGTTTACTTATCAGACTCTGTAGTTCATCCTCTGTTGTGTGTCCAGCACCTGTTGGTGTGTGTGTGTGCGTGTGAGTGTGTGTATGTATGTGTGTGGGTGTGTGTGTATGTGTGTATTCAACAATAAGTGAGGGTTAGGGTCGAGTTTTAGTTTCTCTCTCCGCCTCTTCGTAAGCTGTTACTCTCCTTGCTTCGATAGACCTAAAATATCTTTTTAAAAGCATAAAAGCAATATATGGATTCCGCCCCTACCAAGGAGGTGGTGAGGAGTGATAACATGGGGAGGAGTAAGTGTGTTGTGATTCTTTTCTTGGGAGGGAATAGGATCGTTGCAGTAGGTGAGGGAGGATGAGAAGGTTGGAGAGTAGAAGTAGGAGTCACGAGCTTGGCTGAAGGGCAATTAAGATAAAGGTTCTTACACTGGGAGGGGAAGATTATGTAGTAAGGGAACAAGGGTATGGATTGGTTTGAGTTTTTTTTCTCGAATGGGAAATGGAGCAAGGGCCTGAGGAGTCGTCTATGGAAGAGTTTCTGGATCTGTTCTCGTATTTTCACCATCTGTTGGTCTTCTTTCATTTTTGGTTTATCCCAATTGAGGTGCACACATTGATTACTTTAATTATGATTTCCCTTTCATAATCTTTGCCATTTTTGTTATAAGATGCCAAATGTATTAAGCAAATTTCCTCAATTTGCTTGTAACAGATAACTGAACTGTAGATATAAATCCTGATGTACTCCTGTTAAGCCATTTGAAGCCTAGTTCCTGGGCATTTAGTGTATCCATATGTTCTTGCGATACCGTCCACAAGATGGATATCTGGTGCACAATAAACTAGCCACTTCGGTGGCAAAATCTGTAAAATGCAATCTGTCATAAGGTCCACGTTTAACTTAGGTGTTGTACTCCCTTGAGTGCCTTAAAGTCACTGACAGTTTGTTACTTGGTTCACTTCGGTCTTCTCATCTGACGTTCTAATCGTTCTGGAGGAGACCAAGAATAATCAAAACCTCCCAGACTTACCATACCAGGGGTGGGGTTAGAACCCACGATCAGAGAGTCACATAACTCCACACCGACGCGTTAGTCACTGGATCAGCTGGCTACAATAAGATTCATCCAACTATGTATATTTTCCCTCCTCTTTTATGTCCAGATTTCGGAAATTGTTTTTTTAGAGTTTTTGTGTTGATCACCATGTTTCCTGTACCTCCTGTTGCCTGATATTTTTTCTGCAAAAGTATTGTTTACCTCCCCTCCCTTTCTTCCCTTCATTCTCTCTCACCACCTACTCTTGCTATTCCTGCATTCATCTCATTTACTTCTTTCTTTCATCTGTCACGGTTCCTTCTTCCCATCCCAGATTTTTTCCCATGAAAGAGGAAAACAGTAGCTCCCCCACCTACAGCATTCCTCTTTCATTACTTGTTCTCTACATATACATTCTGTACTTTTTTCCTTGATCTCCTCGAATCTTATATGAAAACCTAGTGAACATCAGTTCTTTCTCCGTCCACTTGTATTCTGTTTCTTTCTCCTCAGTTCCCCTTCTGTTTTTAATTGCTTTTTGGTACCCATTTCATAGCCTCTCGGTTGTCGACCAGCCTGATACTATAATTCCTCTATTTGTTAAACGTATTGGTAAATAAACCACTAGTCCCTCTCCTTGCCTGTTTTGTGAGAAGAAGCAGTTGTGTGGAAATCAGTTGAGCATTAAAAGTGATAGCATGTGTGTACTCAATGCCTAATGCTTTTATGAAAGTAAGTATTATATAACCTTAGTTTACGTATACAAATTTTTAACAAGGGTGTTGAGGGCACACAGATACTATGTATGCATACGATATCATTAAATTTCTTTAACCTATGACAGTCAAATAAATTTAAAGACTGTCCTTTATTTGTGAATATAGAAAATTAGCCATATATTTCACAGACACCATTTTGACTAATAAAATTAGAACATACTTACACATCGTAACATCAAGAGATTGCTTCCTACTAGAAATAATTCGTTAATACTAGAAGTTGGCAAGTGACCAGTAGCTGCACTTTCCAGTTATTGCATAGAATCCAACAAATTTCGAGCCTATATGGCCTAAGCCCATGAAACGTTCCATCCATTTCCTCACCCAGAAAAAAGTTTGGACTGATATTTGCTGTGAAGGTTCCATTTTTAAATTGGAAAAATGGAATACTTCTTCTCATGCGATAATTTCTGTCACATCTGATCAGCTTTAACCATTCCATAGTAACTACTTGATAATGCAGCATGTAAGCTGCTTTAAGCTTAATTTGTTTGTATATTTTACGAATCCGTTCTCTTGGGTCACTCTGAAAGATTTTAATTAGATTTGGGTCTTTTGTAGTAATTCATAATTTATGTTGAAGAAATTTAGATATTGATTTAAAGATGATTACGAAACTCTTTTCTGATTCTCTTCAGTTCCTCAATGGTAATATTTAACTACATTACCAACTCTGTATTATTCCGATCGCATGTACTGAGAATCAGTAAACTGGAGTTGTAAAATACAGGAATACATATCTGGGATCGCACAGCGACTGAAATTCGTCTGGGTATTGAAAAGCTCCGAAAGGCAGTTTGAGTTGCAAATTTTGTTAGGCTAATTGCGTGCATGACAAAGACATCTTGCAAGTAGCCTGACTCGACCTGTCAGCAAGTTATACCAACCGTCACTGCTGCTCAAGTCACTGACTCGCTGCACTTGCGCGCATCCCTGCGCATTGCCCAGTGAGCCTAACTAAGCATTAGTGTTAATAAGTCACCGATCCAAGTACACACATGGCTTGTAGGATCCCCACTTGTACTCACGAAAAACACAAGAAACAGTCCGTTCAGAGTAACTCAACCTAGAGATTCGCCAGACGAACTCAGAATAGTGGTGGTTGATCTTAGTGACACAGTTAACAGGCTTTGGGAGGATGCAAGACATAATCTATCTGTAAATCACACTGGAGGTTCTAATGAAGAAATTTGGCGACATATTATACCGTATAACACACTGTAGAAGTCGTGAAGGCTTGATCTTCCTTTCGTTAATCACAGTTCTGTGATGGCCATGCCATGGAAATAAGTCAGTGTCTGACTTTTTTGGGTTATCCCAGGTTCTCTACACATATGCTGCTATGTATGATAATTCTATGTAACGTATTTGTGTATACCTGAATAAACTTACTGATGGTAATCATGTTTGCTGTGAGATTCCACTAGATGATAGGGGAGTGGCACGTAAATTTGCTAGGGACTATGTAACGTTAACTGGTTCTCAGCAGTCTCGTCAGTCACCAAATCTTTCCCATATATTAAAAAAAAAGATTCTAGTCACATTGTCTGATGGTTCCAATCACATGGCTGGCCAATCGTCTGATATATAAACCCAGGTCAATCTTGAGTAAGTAGAGACAATTTGGCGCTACCCCCTAAAATCTGATACCCCAGTTTAGCAACAAGTAAATAGGTGCTCGGGTTTTAGTCTTTCGTTAGGTGTAGCACCTTGGGAGAGGGACGATATGCAAGGGCAAGTGCCCTTAAATTTGATGTGCCTATTCACAGAGCCGTAAATAGGCACTTAGATGTTAGTTGACTATTGTGAATAACGTCTTGGCAAATAACCTATGGACGCTGAAGTTGATAATCCACCGAACCTTCATGAACCAACTGGTCACAGTGGCACTGCTGCAGGAATCACCAAAGCTGGTAAGAGGCTCTTGATCTGAGGGAGTGGATCAAAACTCCAAAACTTTGTACGAAGTCTGATTGCCTTCCTTTCCCCCAGACGCTATATGACCCTTATGGGTTTAGCACTCTCTACCACTTGATTGTTATAATGTAATGTCAGCAATCACCAAATTGTCTAAGAGCTCCAGGACAAGGAAAGGTCACTAAAAAAATCCATGAGACTGTTTCGCACTCACCCACAAAATCTTGTGGTTATAGGAATGTATTCTGGTCAACCAAGAGACTTCATAGTAGAGTTCCAGTACTCCTCCGCAACGCTTGAGAGTTGCAGCAATTATTCTGGAGACTCAATACATCTTGTGACATTTCCAGGACTAGATTACAAGACCTAAGAATACCTCCACTTATAATGATGAACTAATATATTCCGTGTTAGTATCCCAGGGATGTTTTCTGCCTTATTACCTATTTTTAACCAATATATTGCAACTCACCTTGCGCAGCCACCAGGTCAGGAATGAGACCAGAGCCACGGGAACAGTGATGACGGGTGATGAAGACTGCGGCTGCTACTAGAAAGAGAAATACTCCTACAACGCCCAGGAAAACACCAAGGAGTGGTGACACTGTCCCATCAGCACTCTCCTCCGGCTCTGGCTGACTGCTCGACACCCCGGAGACTGCCACTTAGAGAGGGGGGGTAAAAATATTTGCTATTCATTCGATATGTCTTCAGCACCATGGTAGCTTGAAACTTAGTTGTTTTAAATTCATACATGATAAATTATGCACCATGCCTGATTTAAATAATTACACTATGGTTAGTTTTGATGTCACTTCATAATTTACAAAAGTTTCAGTTGACTTATTAAGTTTAATATCCGATAACCTCGGTAATTACGAGTTACCATAATCCTACCAACAATCACTGAGCTTATTAAACATTGCATTGCTGATGCAAAGTTTGTGTTTAATCGAGAGTTTTACACTCAGAAGACCATAGCAATTTGTACAAACACACACATACACAGACACACAACTGGTCCCCCTCCCTCACAGACCACCCAGAACACAGTGTTGGGGAGGAAACTGAAGGTATGGCACACCAACGAGTAAATGGGAGGAGTGGCACGAAAGAGTCAAAGAGGCATCACCGGACATCATAGCTCTCACAGAAACCAAGCTCACAGGAATGATAACAGATGCTATCTCTGCAACGGGATATCAGATCCTGAGGAAAGACAGAAGGAACAGAAGGAGTGGAGGAGTGGCACTGCTCATCAAAAACCAATGGGATTTTAATGAACTGGAGAGAGGAGACAGAGGAGAAGCAAGAGACTACAAAATAGAACACTTCATCCTGGAGGTCCCAAGGTGGTAACTGCAGTGATGTATAACCCACTACAGAAAAGAGAAGACAGAAGGGACTCCAGAAAGACGGAGAGGTGGGGTACACCATCAGCTGTTGGACACAATACACACAACCGAGGAAGAAGTGAAGAGGCTGCTCAGCGAGCTAGATACCTCAAAGGCGATGGGGCCGGATAACATCTCTCCATGGGTCCTGAGAGAGGAAGCAGAGGCGCTATGTGTACCCCTAACAACAGTCTTCAACACATCTATCAAAACAGGGCGAATACCTGAGGTATGGAAGACAGCAAATGTAGTCCCAATTTTTAAGAAAAGGAGACAGACACGAAGCACTAAACTACAGACCAGTGTCACTGACATAAATAGCGTGCAAAGTCATGGAGAAGATTACCAGGAGATGAGTAGTGGAGCACCTAGAAAGGAATGATCTTATCTACGAGAGCCAGCACGGTTTCAGGGACGAGAAATCCTGAGTCATGGGTGGTAGATTGCATTTTTTGGACTGTAAGAGGGCATTTGACACAATTCCACACAAGAGATTAGTAAAAAAGCTTGAGAACCAGGCAGGGATAACAGAAAGACATTGCAGTGGATCAAGGAATACCTGTCAGGAAGACAATAGCGAGTAATGGTACGTGGCGAGGTGTCAGAGTGGGTTCTAGTGACGAGCGGGGTTCCACAGGGGTCAGTCCTAGGATAGGTACTATTTCTGACATTTGTGAACGACATGACGGAAGGAATAGACTCCGAAGTGTCCCTGTTTGCAGATGATGTGAAATTGATGAGAAGAATCCAGTCGGACGAGAACCAGGCAGAACTACAAAGAGATCTGAACAGACTGCAGACCTGGTCCAGCAATTGGCTTCTGGAGTTCAACCCCACCAAGTGCATAGTCATGAAGATTGGGGAAGGACAAAGAAGATTGCAGATGGAATACAGTCTCGGGGGCCAGAGACTACAAACCTCACGCAAGGAAAAAATCTTCGGGTAAGTATAACATATCTCCTGAGGTGCACATCAACTAAATAACTGCTGCAGCATGCGGGCGCCTAGCAAACCTAAGAACAGCATTCCGACATCTTAATAAGGAATCGTTCAGGACCCTGTACATTGTGTACGTTAGGCCCATATTAGGGTATGCAGCACCAGTTTTGGAACCCACCCATATATATATATATATATATATATATATATATATATATATATATTATATATATATATTATATATAATATATATATATGTATATATATATATATATACTGTTTACTGTGATCTTATTGCATATACATATATACATATATATGTCGTGCCGAATATGTAAAACTGGTCAATTAGCAAGAACTCATTTAAAATTAAGTCCTTTCTAAAATTTTCTCTTATACGTTTAAAGATACATTTTTTCATTAATGTTGCTGTAAAAATTTTAATTTTGCACCAAAAGGAACTTAGAAAACTTACCTAACCTTATTATAACAAGCGCAATTTATTTTAGCCTGACCCAACTAAATATATTTTAGATTTGTTTACAGTAATTTAATGCTAAACAAACACAGTGAAATATATTTTTTTCGTTAGGTTCAGAATGATTTTGGAAAAATTATCGCATACACAAATTTTCACTTGTCCTATATGGCAAGATGAGCGTTGCTATTTAAGCCAAGATCGCAAGTTCTGCCTATTCGGCACCACACACACACACACACACACACACACACACACACACACACACACACACACACAACACACACACACAACACACACACACACACACACACACACACAAAACACACACACACACACATATATATTATATATATATATATAATATATATATATATATATATATATTATATATATATATATATATATATTATATATATATATATTATTTATATCGGGCTTTCACATGATATCAGTTCTCAAAGCGATGTGTTTAGAATACTCACTCATTCTGTTTTCTGCTACTTTAAGGGTGAATGCCTCCAGGGAGACAGGAGGAGAGATGCCCTTTCGGTTAATAGCGGTGAGGGTGACCATATAGTCTCCTCCAGGAGCGAGTCCTTCCAAGGTGAAGACGGGAGACATTCCTTCCAAAACCCGGAGTGGCTTCGTAGACCCTCCCGTGTATACCTCAGCTCTGTTTACCAAGAGATAACTAAGTCAAACACATGATATATGTGAAAGCATCAGTGATCATTGAACATGTAAATCCCAAGTGGAGATAAAAAAAAACAAGGAGCACGAAATAGATACAATCTGTATACTTCACAGACGCTGTTTATTATGACAGATTTTTGTTTGGTCACTAAATCTTTAATATACAAGATTGTCTCTTCTAAGAATTTTATATTCTCCTCTAAATGAAATTAACCTCTTCACACGCCTTCATATTTCAAAAATACATTATTAATACAACCAAAAATCACAGTATTGTCCATATAACAAAAAGTAATTTTTAGCAAAGTATGAAAACCTTGGAAATTAAACATTACAGTATTTAAGTACATCCTGCACCATTATAAAGTTGTCAGTTTGATCAACATGATCAACATGATCAATCTCCAGTTTGTGGGTTGGTTGTATTTTGTCGTAGTCACAGTTAATAAATGACGCTTCTGTGCAACATTTGTGCATGTTTATTCTGGAAACGTTTCGTCACTCAGTAGTTTCTTCAGTCCAGTGCAGATAGAAGTGGAAGATAGGGAGGAGTTTGAGGAAATCAGTCCCTCAGCCTGGAGCCGATGTGTAGTCATAGTATAGTGACTTGTACTGCTGCAGTCCTGGTATTGTTCCAGGTCCGGTTTTGTACTTTGTACTGTTATTGTACAAGCCACATAAGACATTAGCAGTTATTGATACACAACTAAGATCGGAGGGTAGATGTGGACGAGAATTTAATAATAATCACAGTATCGTAACACACGAGGTATTGTGATTTGTATTGTTGCAACCAAGGTATTCTGAGTAAATCTGATGCAGCTACGGTATTATGACTTGCATTTTTGCAGCATTGGTAATGTTGCGGCCACAGTTTCGTTGCAGCCATGTTATTGTAACAGCCGCAATAATATTGCTTCTGTTTTAGCCAAGGTATTGTTTCAGCAGCGGAATTGCCACAATTGTGGTTGAAGCTCCGTATATGTTGCATCTGTGATTATATATGTTGGTAGGTTAATTAGTTGAACAAACTCCCGAGTAGAATCATTGAAGCTAAAACCTTAAGTAGCTTTAAAAATAGGTTAGACAAGTACATGAGTGAGTGTGGATGGGTACGAGTTGGACGTGCAAGGCTTGAGCCAGTAGGTCTGCAGCAGTGCTCCGTCCTTGTTAAGTTCTTAAGTGGGTGTGACCTGGACCATTCAAAGCATGGGCCAGTAGGCCTACAGCAGTGCTTCTTCTTTATGTTCTAAAGATATTATGACTCACGAACTCGTAATAACACGATTGCAAACAAACCACGGAACTGGTGGGGTTTGAACCTAGGCGAGAGACTCTTAAAACTTCATTCCCAGTGCGTAGACACTGGGCCTTTGTCTTACGCAATGGCCTGGAGTTTTGTGACCCATTGGCCAGGGGTTCAGGATGAGGTCTGAACCCCTCGTTTGTTTTAGGCTTCCTCGCTTGTTGGTAGGCTTCCTCACTTGTTGGTAGGCTTCCTCGCTTGTTGGTAGGCTTCCTCGCTTGTTGGTAGGCTTCCTCGCTTGTTGGTAGGTTTCCTCACTTGTTGGAAGGGTTCCTCGCTTGCCGGTACGCTTCCTCGCTAATGGTAGGCTTCCTCGCTTGTTGGTAGGCTTCCTCGCTTGTTGGTAGGCTTCCTCGCTTGTTGGTAGGCTTCCTCGCTTGTTGGTAGGCTACCTCGCTTGTTGGTAGGCTTCCTCGCTTGTTGATAGGCTTCCTCGATTGTTGGTAGGCTACCTCGCTTGTTGGTAGGCTTCCTCGCTTGTTGGTAGGCTTCCTCGCTTGTTGGTAGGCTTCCTCGCTTTTTGGTAGGCTACCTCGCTTGTTGGTAGGCTACCTCGCTTGTTGGTAGGCTTCCTCGCTTGTTGGTAGGCTTCCTCGCTTGTTGGTAGGCTTCCTCCCTTGTTAGTAGGCTTCCTCGCTTGTTGGTAGGCTTCTTCGCTTGTTGGTAGGCTTCCTCGTATGTTGGTAGGCTTCGACGTTAATGGTAGGCTTCGACGTTAATGGTAGGATTCGACGTTAATGGTAGGCTTCCTTGTTTGCTGGTAGGTTTTCTCGCTTGTTGGTAGGCTTCCTCGCTTGTTAATAGGCTTTCTCGCTTGTTAGTAGGCTTCCTCTTTTGTTGGTAGGCTTCCTCGCTTGTTAGTAGGCTTCCTTGCTTGTTGGTAGGCTTCCTCGCTTGTTGGTAGGCTTCCTCGCTTGTTTGTAGGCTTCCTCGCTTGTTGGTAGGTTTCCTCACTTGTTGGTAGGCTTTCTCGCTTACTGGTAGGCTTCCTCGCTTGTTGGTAGGCTTCTTCGCTTGTTGGTAGGCTTCCTCGCTAATGGTAGGCTTCCTCGCTTGTTGGTAGGTTTCCTCACTTGTTGGTAGGCTTCCTCGTTGGCTGGTAGGCTTCCTCGCTTGTTGGTAGGCTTCCTCGCTTGTTTGTAGGCTTCCTCGCTTGTTGGTAGGCTTCCTCGATTGTTGGTAGGCTTCCTCGCTTGTTGGTAGGCTTCTTCGCTTGTTGGTAGGCTTCCTCGTATGTTGGTAGGCTTCGACACTAATGGTAGGCTTCCTCGTTCGCTGGTAGGTTTTCTCGCTTCTTGGTAGGCTTCCTCGCTTGTTAGCCTATTAACAAGCGAGGAAGCCTACCAACAAGTGAGGAAACCTACCAACAAGCGAGGAAGCCTACAAACAAGCGAGGAAACCTACCAACAAGCGAGGAAGCCTACCAACCAGCGAGGAAGCCTACCAACAAGTGAGGAAACCTACCAACAAGCGAGGAAGCCTACAAACAAGCGAGGAAGCCTTCCAACAAGCGAGGTAGACTACCAACAAGCGAGGAAGCCTACCAACAAGCGAGGAAGCCTACCAACAATCGAGGAAGCCTACCAACAAGCGAGGGAGCCTACCAGCAAGCGAGGAAGCCTACCATTAGCGAGGAAGCCTACCAGCAAGCGAGGAAGCCTACCAACAAGTGAGGAAACCTACCAGCAAGCGAGGAAGCCTACCAACAAACTAAGAAACCTACTAACAAGCGAGGAAGCCTACCAACAAAAGAGGAAGCCTACTAACAAGCGAGAAAACAGGCTTTCTCGCTTGTTAGTAGGCTTCCTCTTTTGTTGGTAGGCTTCCTCGCTTGTTAGTAGGTTTCTTCGTTTGTTGGTAGGCTTCCTCGCTTGTTGGTAGGCTTCCTCGATTGTTGGTAGGCTTCCTCGATTGTTGGTAGGCTTCCTCGCTTGTTGGTAGGCTACCTCGCTTGTTGGTAGGCTTCCTCGCTTGTTTGTAGGCTTCCTCGCTTGTTGGTAGGTTTTCTCACTTGTTGGTAGGCTTCCTCGCTGGTTGGTAGGCTTCCTCGCTTGTTGGTAGGCTTCCTAGCTTGTTTGTAGGCTTCCTCGCTTGTTGGTAGGTTTCCTCTCTTGTTCGTAGGCTTCCTCGCTTACTGGTAGGCTTCCTCGCTTGTTGGTAGGCTTCCTCGCTAATGGTAGGCTTCCTCGCTTGTTGGTAGGCTTCCTCGCTTGTTGGTAGGCTTCCTCGCTTGTTGGTAGGTTTCCTCACTTGTTGGTAGGCTTCCTCGCTTGTTTGTAGGCTTCCTCGCTTGTTGGTAGGTTTCCTCACTTGTTGGTAGGCTTTCTCGCTTACTGGTAGGCTTCCTCGCTTGTTGGTAGGCTTCTTCGCTTGTTGGTAGGCTTCCTCGCTAATGGTAGGCTTCCTCGCTTGTTGGTAGGCTTCCTCGCTTGTTGGTATGCTTCCTCGCTTGTTGGTAGGTTTCCTCACTTGTTGGTAGGCTTCCTCGCTTGTTGGTAGACTTCCTGGCTTGTTGGTAGACTTCCTCGCTAATGGTAGGTTTCTCGCTTGTTGATAGGCTTCCTCGCTTGTGGTAGGTTTCCTCACTTGTTAGTAGGTTTCCTCGCTTGTTGGCTGGTTTCCTCACTTGTTGGTAGGCTTCCTCGTTTGTTGGTAGGCTTCCACGCTAATTGGTAGGTTTCTTCACATGTTGGTAGGATTCCTCGCTTGCTGATAGGCTTCCTCGCTTGTTAGTAGGTTTCCACGCTTGTTGGTAGGCTTCCATGCTTGTTGGTAGACTTCCTCGCTTGTTGGTAGGCTTCCTCGGTAGTTGGTAGGCTTCCACGCTTATTGGTAGGTTTCCTCACTTGTTGGTAGGTTTCCTCACTTGTTGGTAGGCTTCCTCGCTTACTGGCAGGCTTCCTCGCTTGTTGGTAGGCTTCCACGCTTGTTGGTAGGTTTCCTCACTTGTTGGTAGGTTTCCTCACTTGTTGGTAGGTTTCCTCACTTGTTGGTAGGCTTCCTCGCTTACTGGTATGCTTCCTCGCTTGTTGGTAGGCTTCCACATTTGTTGGTAGGCTTCCTCGCTTGTTGGTAGGCTTCCTCGCTTGTTGGTAGGTTTCTTCAGTCCCTGGTAGGCTTCCTCGGTCCCTGGTAGGCTTCCTCGTAAGATATGTTATAGGTATCTGTGCAAGATACGACGGCGAGTTGCCTCCTATGACCTGTTTCTGGGTTAATCATAACAGCTTCCACAATCTGGGTAAATGATGGTATGAGATTGTAAGAGGTTTTAACAGATTAATTTATTGGAAAGCGACAAAGAAATTTGTACCAAACTCTACAAACAAGAACTGATGCATGAGCAAAGATGAGTAGCCTAAATAAGGCAATAAATCGCAAAACTAACTCTCTCTCTCTCTCTCTCTCTCTCTCTCTCTCTCTCTCTCTCTCTCTCTCTCTCTCTCTCTCTCTCTCTCTCTCTCTCTCTCTCTCTCTCTCTCTCTCTCTCTCTATCTATCTATCTCTCTATCTATCTATCTATCTTTCTATCTCTGTCTTCCCTATTTCTCAAAAACAAAAAAGCTACTTTTAGGACTGGGTGGGGTGTATCTTCACATGACTGGGCGGGGTGTATCTTCACATGACTGGGCGGGGTGTATCTTCACATGACTGGGTGGGGTGTATCTTCACATGAC